GGCACGGAACAAATGTGAAGAAAATTTAGTTCTTAAATTGATCGATCATCTATTATCTTAACTCTTTCCGTTTTTGATTTGTAGGCGTAGCAAATATGTAGAATTTTTTTGACGTTGGACTACGTCTGTGATTTCTATATGGGGGTACACTTTGTGAAAACCTAAAATGAAACATGTACCAAAATTATGAAAGATTTTGAACGTTAATAACTCAGCTGCCCCTGGACCAATTTAAATAATTTTATCACCAATGGATCAGAAATATTTCTATGCATCTGTTCAATAAAAGATTTTATCATTTTTCAAAATGTCATTTTTGAAAATTGTATAGATGTGCAATTGTTGCTATGATAATAAAAAATAATTATCACCGATTGCCTGCGAAAAGCGATTTCCCTAAAACCGATTTCAAAATTGAATTATATCCGGTCTCTCCAAACGGTGTTTATTCAATCACCGCGTGGTGAGTCGTGGTTTTCTCTAGTACACAACGAAAGGCTGCCTGCAAGCAGCAAGTTGCAGCCTACACGAGCATCCATAGAAGGAGGAAGAAGCCTCACCGCTATTGATCGGAATCAGTAGCTCTTCGTGAGTCGTTGTGAGCCATCTATGTCAAGCGCGTCATACTAAATATAAATTCCTACTATATAACTATTCCTACACAAAACACAAGCTCCTGCTGCAATTAACAAATTAGATTTATTATATACGGTCACGTAGTCTTACGTCACCATTGCGTACAACCCCATAGGGCTGTCCATTGTAGTTTTTTCAAAGAGAAAGTTGATGGAGAGAATCGATCAAAATCACTTGCACCCCTGCTTCGAAGTTTGGTTGCAAGATTACAACTATGGAGAGCATTTTGTGTGGTCGTTGGGGTCATGTGGTTCTGCATATGGACCAACAGGCAGATAAATTCGATTCCAACTTTTTACTGCAATAAGCTTGTTGGCACAGAAAAGGGTCGTTTTGTTGCCAAAGTTGGTGATGATTTAACCTCCGAAACTGTACAGAATTCGTCTGTCGCTTCAAAGCGTAGACGACATCGATGGCCACTTACGCTTGGCGTGTTCAGTATAGGTGACAGCATCACGGATCACCTTTTCCAAGAACACCTTCAGCACACTTCGTAGATCAGATCTGGAGACACGTTTGACACCGCCAAGGCGAGCCAGACGACTGTTTTTGCTGCTTCTGCTGTCTGCTCACCACGGCTTCAGAAGCGAAAATGAGTTGTTTTATATCTTTTCAGGTTAAAGCAGAATGATGTGCAATCAAGTGGTACTCAATTATGACGACAACAACGTTTATTTCTCGAAAACAGTGAAAAGATTCTCACTTTTTATTTGTACTTTGGATAATGCTTGACATTACCACTTTTTCAATAGTTTCTTGTTGAAAATCATCAGTTGGAGGCATTGCGTAAACATATTTCTGATCGATTGGTGATTAAATTGTTGAAAATGATCCAGAGGCAGCTAAGTGATTAATGTTTAAAATCTTTCATAATTTTGTTTCATTTTCCATTTTCGGTTTTCACAAAGTGTACCCCAGTATAGAAATTAAATACGTAGTCCTACGTCAAAAAACTGATCCTGTGCCTGAAATTAGTTTGATTCCAAAATGCTTGGTGTTTTGAGATCTTTAATTTTTTTTTCAACTAAGGTCAAACTTTTGCCCCACCATACTCTACACACGCACACCCACAGCTGAGCTCATGCACTTCATGTATCCTTCTGCTGTGTCGATTCGAGCGCGCATCAAGTACATTCCGCAGGGTTTGCTCTTCTAGTTGGACTGACAAAGTTGTGTCGTTTTTTTTTTGTGTTTTGCAATTTTCTTCTCTTCTATGCGTCTGCACGACTCCTAGTTATAGACCTGTCGACATGCCGGTATGTTTTTGCCACTAGCGATTACGTCGTTTCGCTTGTTATGCCTGTCCCGGGATTTGTCCACCACTTTATGTTCTCAGTTGCCAAGTGCAAGGAAAATTTCGGAAGCTTTCCATTTGCTTATCTTCGGCCTCAGTGCCAAATCCCCAGACAGAAGCAGAGTAGGAAAGATACGTTCTCCAGCAAAATTGCAGATTCGGCAGCACTCCAAAGTTAGGAATCTTCTCCGATGCTTATAAAAAAAAGTAAATCCGAGGAAATTGACGTTATGTAACTTCAGGTCCACTCTAACCAGCGTAGCTCACGGTATGCCTATCTGACTGACTTAGCCTTGGCTCGCATTTTTTCCACCCATATTATGCTTTACCAGCCGTCTAACGAACGGTTGGGTGAATTTTACTCCAAAGGTAGGGCCGTGTTTCGCTTCGATGGGTAGGAAATAAAATGCAAAACTGCCGTTCCATCCCCGTGTAAAAACAAAATAAAACAAATTTCAAAGGATTCAGGCTGGATGGTAAGCAGCCAAACGGGACCAACGAATATGCCATTGGAGAAAGGAAAAAAGTGTCATTTGTGTCTCACGCCATGGTTCTAATATTTAGAAGAGATGAGTGAAGGAATATTTGTATTCATGACGACTAGGTACAAGCTGATATAAGCTGGTAGTGGGCGATTTCAAATCGATTCACGGAATATCGATTCTTCTGGATGAATTAATCGATTTTAAAAATCTATCTCAAACGCACGAAAAATCTACTGCATCGATCATAATCTCATCATAATCATAGTCTTTATATTTATGAAAGAAACCAAGACATACTATGTTCTACAAGGTAGTGCAATTTTGCTTTCAGTAAAACTTTGTAGTACATACAAAATTTGTATAACAACCACACATTTGTAAGTTATAATATATTATTGATTTTATGGGGTTATTTATGATAAATATGGTTTAACAAACATAAACGAGCACATAGAAAGTTATTGTCTTTATCAAAGTTTATTGTTATACTATTTTCTACAGCTTTGCTAAAGACATCAATGCAATATAGGGTAGGCGTACCAGTTATGGCCATACGTTCCTATTATGGTGTGTTCCAGTTATGGCCTATGGAATTTCCATAGGCCATAATTGGAACACACCATAATAGGAACGTATATATTCGGCTACTGGTACATCTACCCTATTGACTCTAACTGGTACATCTACCCTATTGACATTTGCAAAATATATGGATCAAGTTTTCCCTCTAAAATCTCAAATGATCACGTTTTTTCAGGTTTTAGACCACCATGCGATGCATGCCACTGCTGACGAAAAAACACATTGGTGCTCACATCTAGTCGGTAACAATAGAGATGCGTGCTCTCGCATTCTTCTTTGATATCCTTCATGACCTCGACCGCGCGTGATCCATTGCATATGACCGAGACATGTTCACGCGACTGTGGGGTGTTTTCAGGGAAAAAATAAACCACGATCGCAACCGAATATTGGATTAAACTCTATGAGACCTTTAAACCTGTTAACCATGATGTTTGTCTGGGTGTTGAAATGAGAATGTTTTATTCAATCTGTTTTGTTTACAGGAAATATTGGTTACAAAAATAATCTGGAGGGAGGTGTTTAGAGTTAATTGTCTTATTTACTCATTTGCTATATACAAGAGGTTTCACCAATACATGAGACGTATAGAACTCGAGAGAAATGGTTCTTTATATTGATGCGTAAGCGATGGAAATTTACCAGCCACTTGCATTGTGGGCACGATACGCCAAGGCATAACTAGAGAGATCGAATAACACCTCGCACTAATCGATTATGGAAACAATTTTGCTTTTGCTGTGAGGTAACGATAACATGGGTCATCGTCCGTGTTGGAATAGAGAAAAGGTTTCCAATAAATTAATTTTAAGTGGTGGTGTTACGGAGACGGTGTCGTTCTGACTTCTTTAAGACAAACTTGTCAAGTTATCTTTCGGAGTAAGCTTTTAGCTGCAATTTATTTTAATTAAAACAGCAAAAGGGTTTATCTTCCATTTAATTCCACTTAATTAATTTTGGTATCCATGACAGATACGTATTTCGACTACAATGTGCAGTCTTCATCAGTGTCATTCCCACTAAAGAACTTATCAAAATCTAACCCCCTTAAGTACTCATCCCCTAGGTAAAAAAGTCAAGATCATAGGTATAAAAATGAAACTACAATGTGTTGAATCGGAACCTACCTAACTAATAAAAACCAAAGATTTAAGTAAGCTAAAGGAGAAAAATCTATACAAATCTCTAATAAGGAAAATCCCCAAAGGCTTGGTAGCCATCATAATGAAGTAATGAAATTGGGTTGTTAGCGGAACAACCCAATTTCATTACTTCATTATGATGGCTACCAAGCCTTTGGGGATTTTCCTTATTAGAGATTTGTATAGATTTTTCTCCTTTAGCTTACTTAAATCTTTGGTTTTTATTAGTTAGGTAGGTTCCGATTCAACACATTGTAGTTTCATTTTTATACCTATGATCTTGACTTTTTTACCTAGGGGATGAGTACTTAAGGGGGTTAGATTTTGATAAGTTCTTTAGTGGGAATGACACTGATGAAGACTGCACATTGTAGTCGAAATACGTATCTGTCATGGATACCAAAATTAATTAAGTGGAATTAAATGGAAGATAAACCCTTTTGCTGTTTTATTTAGCATTCCGCTAACAACCCAATTTCATTACTTCATTATTTTAATTAGTTTTATGCCCGTTTTTACAAATTTTTATTGTTACTTACAATTATTAGTCTTCTTCGTTTTTTAATCCGTCTGTGTGTAACAGTTGCTTTGCTTGATTGTTGTAACCTAGTCTATATGAATTCAATCAGTGTTTGTGTTTATTTTAGACAAAAAAATTACTCACAAGATGGTTTTAGAACCAGTAGGTTTTATAAGATACAACTTTTAATATTGTAGCACTAAATAAAAACTCCAAATTTTAACGTATTCTTCTGTGTTCTTTGTACTAAGTTATAACAATGGGAATAGATAATGATAGTGAAATTTGCATTACTGACAATTCCGGTTGACGTTTCCGAGCTTGAAGTTGTCAGTCAACCGTTAGGTCGACTGGATATCGGCAGCGTTTGCCAATGACGGGGGGTCTTGGATCGTCGCGCACATACCCCACCCCGTATTGCATGAAGTTCCTTCAGCCACACCATCCTGTTCCAGCACATCCAAGACAGCCAACTTAGTTAACGGACGCTGATGTATGCCCGTAGCAGACCTCACATCCGCGCTGCGTATTCTTCCGTCTTTTCCTGTATACACTTTTACGACGATTCCTCTTTCCCAGCTATTCCTCCTTGTTTCGTTCACGATCATGACCAAGTCTCCAATCTGTATCGGTTTCACTTCCCCCAACCACTTCGACTGTCGCGATATGACTGGTAAGTATTCCCTGATCCATCGATTCCAGAAACGGTCCAACATGACCTGCACGTGCTTCCAATTCGAACGCATAACCGATGCATCATGCAGCGAAGCAGTGACTGGCTGGCATACTCCGTTAGAACTTAGAAGCAGGAAGTGGTTCGGAGTGAGCGCTTCACTCTCTGCTGAATCCAAAGGAAGATACGTAAGCGGACGAGTGTTCACCATTGACTCCACTTCTGCTAAGGCAGTTAAGAGGGTTTCTTCATCAGGATTCCTCGAAATATCCATGGTGGCCACCGACCGCACTAATCGTTCCCAGATGCCCCCCATGTGCGGAGCATAGGGAGGATTCAGCTTCCACTGCGTTGCTGCATTTGTGAACGTGGCGGCCAAGACATAGTTGATCTGATTCACTTCATGCTGCTGTTCTTTCCGAGCTCCCTGGAAAATCGTCCCGGGAAAATAGCAGCGTTCAATTCGTACTTTTCCCAGGTCTTGGAGAGCTAGAACCCAACGGTGCCACAGTGGAAATATTTTCTCTGGTATTTTTGCATCCCATCCTATGCCCGATCTCCAAACATCTTGCACCAAGACTTTGCCATGGATTACGAAATTCGCCACCAGCCCCAAAGGATCGAATATGCTCATCACAAGACTTAGAAGTTCCCTTTTGGTGGGATAGACACATCCATTTAGCAATCTCTCGAGTTCACTGCGAAAGCGTATCGCAAAGGAAAATACGTCCTCTTTGGGTAGCCAAATCATACCCAAAACTCGTTCCGAGCCGTTACCTTTTCCCATCATGAAGTTCTTCGTCGAATCTGATGATTCTTCACCGATCCGCTTCAACACTTCTGAAGAGTTGGACAGCCAATGTCGAAGTTCAAATCCCCCACGTTCATGAACTGTTTTCACCTCCTCTGCCAACTGTACTGCTTCTTCGACCGTGTCGACGCTGTCCAAATAGTCGACTTTCTCGTACAACATTGGATCTTTTGATAACCGCTTTTCAAGACACTGCGTCCTTCTTTCCGCCATAGGCCTGCTGTCAGAAAATTCCACCTTTTCCTGTTTCCATAAAAGACCTGTTTGGAACTTCCTTGAATTTGTACGCACTGTAGTGGCTTCCATCAATTCACTAGCTCGTTTTTCGCTAATTTATTCGACCATTTCGGTTGCTCCAACGCCCGCACCTTCGATAGTGAAGAAACTTTTCACCATCTCGTCAAGTTCATAATTCGTCGGGCGATTGCAGACGTGCATAACTCGATGGGGCAGCTTGGCATTTGCATCTCCTGATCTCCCATACAGCGTCCAGCCTAGACGTGTTTTCGCCGCAACTGGTTCATACCCTTTGCCTTCTCGGAGTTTGAGAGGCGTCTTCAACTTGGTGTTATCTAGACCGATCAGTAGCCTTGGTACCGCACCATCGTAACTTGTAACAGGAAGCCCCTTCAAATGAGGAAACTTGGCCTGTAGTTCATTGAAGTCGACAGTTTGATGCGGTAAGTCCAAACTGGATACTGTGTGTACTCCGCTCAATGCGAAGTGCTTGTTGGAATTGCTTCCGGAAATCTCTACATGCACTCGTTGGGAATCCTCCTCGGTACGCTTTACACCGTTGGTCCATTGCAAGCACAGCGGAATGGCTAGTTCCGTAACTCCAAGCTCCTTAGCTATCGAACTCTCCAGCAACGTTGAATCTGATCCCCCATCCAGATAGGCGAACGTGTTCACGGTTTTCCCATTGGCATGAAGCGAAACTGGAATGATGCGGAACAGTATTCTCTGGTGTTGGTGTTGATGGACCGTCACTACGCCCGTACTAGTTGTTACAGGTAAACTTCTGGAATTCCCTCCGTCTTGCGGATTCCCCGGATGTAGGAACTTATGATGATGTTCTTCGCAACCGTCAGTTCCGCATACTGGGGCCTTGCACGGCTACTTACCGTGTGGATACAGGCACCGTTTACACAAATGTGCTTCCTGAACTGCCTTCCAACGGTCATCAAGTTTCTTCGCTTTGAAGGTAGGACATTCCTTTGGTTTATGTCCAGGGGTTTGACATACTGCACATGGACGTATCGTAGGAATCCTTCATCCAACATACGAAGGGTTGATACAATCTCGCCTACGTTCGATGGATGTAACAAAAAATTGCTAACCGCCTTTCAGACAGCGCTGCAGTCTTAGAAGATTTTCGGCATCCGTGTACCCACACATTTGCATCGATGTTTCGAAATTACTCCAGAATAGTGGCCATTCCACTGGGTTTCCCTCAAACGATGGAAGATCCCTTGGAAACACATGACGTGCAGCTAATTGGTGCGCGTTTGGTCCTCTGAATGTCTCTTGCGGAGGTGGATGATCCGGCGCATTCGTGATCGGGATGTTGGTTACTCTTGGATTGTTCACCGCCATACGAGTACTGGTTTATACTGGTTGCGGATAAGACATGGCAGGTTGATTAAATTCATGACCTAGGTATCCCGAATTTTGATTCTGTCCCCAATTCCCATCCGAATATGACACAGCCAAAGGATTTTAATAAGTTGCTTGCTGTGCCACAGACGATGGCGGTATATAATTGTTAACGGTGCCCCAAGGATTTTGTACAACATTTTGATTTGTTTCTCGCTGGTCATGCACGTAACATCTATCACTCACCGCCGTCGTCGGGGGGAATATACTGACCCATTACAGGATTGGCCGGCACGTTTTGGCCGGTATACATTCCCTGGTAAATCATCGAGGCTGATGGTTGCATATCCGAGATGATCGGCTGCGTTGTATTGACCACACGTCTTGTTCCTATATGCTCCCCAAACGGTATGCTTCTTGGCGTTGAATGGTAAGATGGTGGTGGTATAAAATACGAAGGCTGCTGCCAAACCGACTGAGCTGCACCTGACTGCGCATACACCGGTACGGAAGATGATGAAACCATGGGCGGGTGTGATGGTATTGACCAAGCTGACGATGACGATACCTGCGGTTGGTACGTGGTGGACGATAGCGTAAGAGGGTACGGCGTGTACGATGGGACATAAGTCATCGGTGGCAATGAAGGCAAAGGGTACGAAACAGATGCCGTCGTTGTTGGTGATATCACGAACATATTGTTGACATTCGTCGTGGACGGCAGATTCACATTCTGCGGAGCACTCACCAACGGAGTTGGTATTGGTCTGCCTTGGTTCCACTGCATCAATGTTGTTGATATTGACGGAACAGGCAGCGGTTGCTGAACGGATGAAAGTGGCTGTACAAACAATTGCTGTGACGTTGTGCACGCCAAAGAGTTCAATGGAGAAATCAGAGGACTGGTCGTCATCATCAGTGGGTTTTCACTGACAATAACCATGGATGCCGATGATTGTTGCACTTTGCTGCTTCCAGCCACTGCAGTAGTCGTCGCTGAGGTTGTTTGGATTGAACTCGATGGTGCCTCCGTTCGCAACGTGAGCCCAGTGGGGATACCCCCAGTATTGGCACTCAGGGTTACTGGTGGGTTCTGACAAATCCAATCTTGAACCTTGCTATTACCTTGATTGTAGATTCGGTGGCTACGAGTACTTGCTGCATCACCATCGTCCTCCAGCTGAGTGTGGAGGAGATTATATTTCTTCTAGATGAACTCCTTCTCCAAAGTGAACATCGCCTCGATCGCTTTATCCCTCCGATCTCTCTCTAAACGTAACGCCATCTCTTGAATTTGCTTGTCTTGTTTTTCCCTTTCTTCCTGCATCCGTATCTGCAGTCGTTTCTCATCTGCCAAGCGCTGCATTTCTAGCTGCAACCGGGCTTCTCGAGCGCTGGCGGATGTTGATGCTACCGAACCGGGGTTGGGATTTGTACATGCCATGCACATAAAACCTCGATCTTCTTTCTCGATGCTGTCGTTGACACCGACACATCTAAAATGGTACCAGCGTTCACATCCGTCGCACTGTACCATTTTCCGATCTGCATCGTTCGGTTGATTGCAGATAATGCACTGATGATCCGATGAATCGGCGCAGGGTCTGACATGGTTGTGTGCTATTTATGCAAATGTTTATTTCTTGCTGAAGTCTAGCTCGAGCAATTGAAATAATAATTCTCAAAGTTTGTTACGGAGACGGTGTCGTTCGGACTTCTTTAAGACAAACTCGTCAAGTTATCTTTCGGAGTAAGCTTTTAGCTGCAATTTATTTTAATTAGTTTTATGTACGTTTTTACAAATTTTTATTGTTACTTACAATTATTAGTCTTCTTCGTTTTTTAATCCGTCTGTGTGTAACAGTTGCTTTGCTTGATTGTTGTAACCTAGTCTATATGAATTCAATCAGTGTTTGTGTTTATTTTAGGCAAAAAAAATTACTCACAAGATGGTTTTATAACCAGTAGGTTTTATAAGATACAATTTTTAATATTGTAGCACTAAATAAAAACTCCAAATTTTAACGTATTCTTCTGTGTTCCTTGTACTAAGTTGTTATGAATAGATAATGATAGTGAAATTTGCATTACTGACAATTCCGGTTGACGTTTCCGAGCTTGAAGTTGTCAGTCAACCGTTAGGTCGACTGGATATCGGCAGCGTTTGCCAATGACGGGGGGTCTTGGATCGTCACGCACAGGTGGCAATTGGTTTGGTTCGTTGGAACAAACAGTCTTGGCTTCCCCGGAATTGTGACATCGAATCACGTTACACAAAAGGCAGAAAGTATGAATAGTTCGAGTATGTGAAAATGACGAAGGATTTTAGAATGCATGTTTTGATAATGTTGTCTTGCATGTTTCATGTATTCAACTAATCGGTATGTTACACAGATGAAAATTCTGAATTTTAATAGTGATGTAATCATTCATTCACGTAAACTTGTATTTCATTTCTCGCAAACGAGGAACTCGTAAACAATGTTGTTCACAAAAATGGGCTTTTGTATACAATATTTGCTACATTGCATGAAATGTCTCAGAACTTTACATGATACATAATGTAAACTTATATGATATGTGACGCTCCATTTATGTGCATCATACTGAACATACATTTACACTACTTTTTCGAACTGTGTACTTTATGGTTGCTGCACCTAGATGTATTAGATTTTGAATTTCAATTTGAAATGTATAGTGCAGTTTGTACCAAACATTGTTTATGGATATACTTATTTATTTATTTAATAAGTCATCTGACAAAGTTGTCTTAATGAATAAACTATTCGTCTTAAATAAGGTTCAGTCTTCTTACTCTATTCACAAATTGAGGTGTGGACATACCAAAATCAAACGCGGACTCGACGGATACAAACAAACGAACCATTGCACAAATAGCCATAGAGAGTATGATGAAAGCTCGGTTGCATCAGGGATTGCTGACGTAACATCCTACCTGAAGCATGGAAATCAAGCATTGACAGAAGATGAGAGCAATCGACGTCGCCGTTGAGTAATTTAGCTATAAACGTAGCCTGTTGTAGCTTACGTCTTCGATCAAGCATTTCGAGGTCAAGCAGACGGCATCTATCGGGATATGCTGGAAGGTTCAAAAAATAACGCCACGGTAGGTTTCTGAGCGCAATTCATATGAATCTTTTTTGCACACGCTCGATTCTTAGATTCCATGATACGTCGTTTGGAGCCCATACAACTGAAGCATTTTCTAGGATCGGCCTTACGAGTGAACAATACAATGCTTTTAGACAGTGTGGATCCGTGAAATCCTTGGCAATCTTAGAGATGAAGCCAAGTTGACGATTAGCCTTGGGAATAATCGATGCATAATGGAAATGAAAGGAAAGCTTCGAGTCCAATACGACACCAAGATCCGTCACTTGATCCACTCTGCTAAGAACAGTATCATCGATTTGCTGCTTCAGTACCAAAATGCGATGTTAAATTCGATGCAATTATAATAGACGACGATCTTCAACTCTTGATCCGTCTTAAAAATGTCCGTCGGAGACAATATCAAAGAACACGCGATCCTAAATTAACAGGTCTTTGGATCGATAGAAGGTCATCACATGACATTTCGCGACGCTGGTGAC